TAACGATTGAAACCTTCACATTCTTAATCTCAGGCCGATTTGGACACTTGGGTCTGGCCATCAACCTCATCACCTACGATGACCGCTTCAACCTGAAGGGGATCGAGGAGCAGCTCGGAACAGAGATCAAGCCCATCCCCGGCATCATCGACAAGAGCTTATACGTGGCAGAGTACCACAGCGAGAGTGGCGAAGAAATCAAGCCATGAGCCAGTGAGTACAGACACAAGGCCAATACAAACAACACATATTTACTCTTTCAGGGTCATTCAGCTGCTCTTCTGTTCCCGTTTTCTGTATTATTGATGCAATGATTCCATTTGAACACACCGGCCAAGAAACTAGATCTTCTTATTAGACTGATAAATGGGTCACATTACAATTTGCTGTGCTAGTGTTCTGCTACTGTGCATGCCGGGTCATTCATATAACTCAAAGGCACAACAAAAGATAAATGAAGCATTATTACGGTTATTACCCTGATGGTGTTTCCTGCTGTGAGAAGACGTAGGAACATGAGCAATAACTCTCTGGTATGGCTGCAGTTTATTCAACTTTATTTTGTTAAAAGCCCCGTGTTACACAAGGCGTCTGAGCTGAAGTGTCCTTCAGCCGGTCACTCCATCTCTAGCAGCTGCAGGAGGCGCATAGTCTTTGTCCTTTTCAACGAGTCTGTTCAAGTTAATCTAGAAATGGCATAATTTGGTTTCACTTCATTCACAAACTGTTAAAAAAAAGTCAAGAACGATCAAAAGACATTGTGCAGGGTTCGTACGGTCATTGAAAACCTGGAAAAGTCATTGAAAATCATTGGTGAAAAAGTGTATGAACCCTGATTGTGAAAAGGGGCCCTATTATACGTTTGTGGGTTTCCCCTCTCATAGAGTGTTGTATTGGCGTCTGTTCATGTAAATGGTCTACAAAGGCTAAATCCCTGTTCCCTCCAGAGGGAGTTTCTCTCCCACACTCCCCCCTTTTGTGCGAATAACTGTAATGCCATATTTTCATTAATGCATGCTGAATCATTTAAACATGTTTTAGATATTAAAGGAACTAACCTTCTTTCACTCTTCTTTCTTTCCAGATCAGTCCATCCTCCATTCCCCTTTTGTATCTTTTTTTTTCACCCCCCCCCCCGTCTTGGAGTTCTCGTTTTAGTTTTTTTATGTACAGTTTCTGTTTGTCTTCCTTTTTTGGATGCCACCATGAGGAATGTGTATTTTGATGGACGCGTTTCGGAAGAACTCATTTGCCTTTTTGATAGGGCTCAGAGCTGCTCCACCACACCCTGAAGACATGAGCACCTGGAGGAAAGCATGGGACCAAGTCGAGAAAAAAAAGATATCAATGCACATCGTGAAGATTCATATCCACCAATGACACAAAGCCAGCACCAACAGCCCACTATACGACACCCTCCATTCTCCACGTTTTATTTTGAAAGTTTTAACCAATTTGTATCAAGTGCCTTAACAAGCAGTTCAACTCGTTCTAAAGTAATAACCCCTCATTATCCTTCATCTTGATCACTTCATGCCACACACTCACGTTCACCTAATTGAGAAATGGCTACACTAATTTACACATAGGTGAAACCATAACTGTTTTTTGGTTGGGTCATACGTTTGCAAGGAATGGAGATATTTGGGAGGGAAGCCGGTCGGATTTATCTTTTAGCTGGCTTAGCTGCACTTGAGTCTGGCTGATAAATGAGGACACACTTGGATGTTCCATGGACAGAGATGCTGGATTTTTCCCAAGAGACAGCCAGACTTGTCCGGTCACTTGGAAGGAGCTTGCGCTTCTAAAAGACCCAGAGCCTTTCCTCCGTCTTCATTATCAGAACACTAAAAATGAATGAGCAGCCTCTCAACACCACGAGTCATGAGGATTCCTGTTTCGGCGGAGTTTAATCGTAGGGAACGCTTTTTTTTTGTCCTGTGTTTCACCTTCCTATGGATGGCCATACTTAATTCTACGAGACGTGCAGCGGACATGTTGGCTGCACTTTACTCCTTGTGTATATACGTTCATTTTAAGATTGTTTTAAAACAAGTTCAAAAGGCTGGCTACAAACTGTAGAGCTTTTTTTTTTTTCGCCCCCCTTTCTCTCTTGTTAGCACTGGAGACGTTTCCTTTTTACTGCCGGTTTGTTTGATCTGCAATGTTGGCCTGTGAATTTATTTATAATTTTAGAAAGTGCAGAATTTATTAGAATCTAAAACATTGAAATGACCTTGTGCATGGAATGTTTCAGGAGGCAGAGTTCATCACTGGTAATCTTTGTAGCCCCTCAACATTTGAAGGAGAGTGCAATTCTTCAAAGCACTTAAAATGAGATTGTTTAAATTATCGCCCTTTTTCTCCTGCTACCAGTATTAACAAGAGTTTGGTCTAGACGGATGGCTTTGTTGAGCGTTCGAGTAATGAATTATTTGTTTGTCCCCAGCCTTAACTTGTGAAACAAACTCTCAAGCACACTCTGAAGATCTGCAGTTATAGAGAGTGTTGTTATTGGAAGAGAAAATAATATTCTATCATGTAGTAGTACTACTCGCTGCAGTGCAGCTGAATTTGAACAGAATACGTTTTCTGTCAGAGGTATTATCTGTTACGTTGATCTATGTGCTCTTTATGCACGGCGACATTGCTTCACACATGTTGAGCAGGGAGCCGTGGATTAATTTCCCCTTTTTGACGAATGTTAGCCGAATGCATCAAAACAAACTATCTGACTAAAATGTAGCAGAAATGTAATCTCTGCATTGCAAGTTAGCTGGCTTTATAAAAAGAAAAGAAAAGAAGCCTCGTTAAACAACCTGAGCAGGTTGAGCTGCACTTGGCGCACAGAGACGTTCAGGAAAAACACTGACTGCGCCGCTTTTAACACCCATCATGCCCAAATGGGAACAGTGGTGCAGAACAAAAAAAATTGGCACATAGGGGGAATGGGCAAGAAGAATTACATTTTACTGTTAGTCGGACTGCTTGTTTAAAGAAAAAAAAAAAACCCTGGGCACCTCAGACTGCTGAGTTTATGGCTTATTTCTCTATTGCTTTGACATTTGGGCTTTTGGTTACGGTTTGTTTTTATGCAGCATAACCTACTTTGCATTAAGATCATCTGGACACCTGTTTGAAACCTTTTTGCAAACTGGGTTCCCCTTGTTATAGTGAGATGCTTTCCAACTGTTCTAATCAATGAGAAGTAGTATTGCACATTTAATTTAAGCTCTTTTAAAATGTACCAGTGTGACGATGTTCAGTTTAAAAGTCCCTTTTTATTTCTCATTGGTTAGGACTGATCCCTGTTCTCTCAGTGTTGTCGTCCCTTAAATACATGCACATCTAATTTGGCTGTTTCGGGTTGAGGGGAGGGCTGTTTGAAAAAAAAATATTCTAATTTAAATGAAAGATTCGTTGAGAGAACTGGGATCTAACTGCACAGGCGTTTGGCAGCTGCCTGTCTCTCTGTGGCCCACCGGCAGTAACGGCAAAGCCAACGCCTCCAGGGCATAACTTGGCAATCCTTCAAGATTTAGTGTATTGCTACTTTTTGATTGGATGCTACATTACTGCCAGTTGCTGCCACTCTGAGAACCTTAAAGACTGAGACAAGAGCATCTCGCCCCAGATCGGGCGCCTCAATTTGATAGTTTTCTGTAAATAAATTGTCTCATTCTTTAAGGAATTGTTTTAAATTTGTGGGGTGGTTTAAATTTGAGCTCTTGCTGCCCTGATGCACAGGTTTATCCTCATTTCAGATTCCCAACACATTTACAAAAAACACAATTTTTGTGTACATTTTGACCAACCCATCACTTATTTTTAGAGAAAATGAGAGGACTGCTTTCAAAACTGATGCATCAGTAAAACAAATTGGGGAGGGAGGGGCTTTGGGCCGTACAAAGAACGAGATATGATCTTAAGATCCAGTTACGGTTATAAGTTAAAAACGTTTTGAAAAAGTTGCCCTTAAATTTGGATTTTTGTATTTTCTTTCAAATGAAACGTTCAAGAAGTAGAGTTCACCTTACTTAAAACAAAAAATCTCCAAATTTAAGTGAAGAATTTAAAGCCTGCGTTAATCTTTTTTCTTTTATTTGATGGAAATTTGGTCGTTATTCAATTGGAACATTTTCTTTTCAGTGAAGCATTTTTAAATGGACTTGAGTTTAAAAAGGATGTTATCAATATTGTTGGAAACAATTGAAAGTTATGTTGAAAATAAAGCTCACTGAAAGGTATCTTGTGGTTGTGTTTTCCTTGGAGCACTGCAGTGTCCCGTCGCTCTCTCACAGCCAGGTGTCAGTGTGTCGCTGCGAGTGAACTCTGACCTGGAGGATGTTCTCAGACCACAGCAAACATGCACTTTCATTTTGGTTTGTGACTCAAAATGCACAAGTCGCTGTTTCTCTGTTTATCAACTCTGGCTCTTTATGCCTGTGTAAATGCAGCTCTTCCTCCCCCATGTGACAGGTAAGATGGTGTTTTTCCTTGAAAGGTTTTTGTATTCAAGAGATTGTTGAGACAGCTTCCTGATCTTTAACTTCTGCTGGTTCTAAAGATCTGGTTGATTTATGGCTGTAAAACAGATTCATCTGAAATGAGTCTTAACCTAAAAGTGCATTTCCCACCAAAAGTAATGGATCTTATTGGAAACTACTTTAATACTTTTTAAAGTCTAATATCGTGTAGGAATTTCCTAAAAGAATAATCGCTCAGTGGAAAGCAGACTAGCAGTGAGCCGTCTTTACTTGCTTGCTTCGTTTGTGGGATAAAAAGCAGCCTTTTGTTGCTGAGCACCTGAGGTTATTTAAATGTTAAAACCACAGACCACAGACCTTCCATATATCTGGCCTTTCCCCCCTTCAGCAGATATCAGCAGACCTTTGCCCTCACCTGTTTACTTACAGTGACATATGGCTTTATTGCTTCCCTGAAGGACTCTACTTGTCAATATTTGATTTACTTGTCTGTTTAATAATTGCCCACTATAAATGAATTTCAGTGAAATATACTGCACCGGGCCCATCTTGCATCAGGTGCAGACCGCCAAACTGTTTGATGATGATAAATACTTTGTTGACATGAAACTGAGGGAAACTCCTGGTAAGTTTAAGTTGTTTTTAAAAATGTAAAAAGAAGGGAACAATTGTGTTCTTCATGTGACTCCTTTGTTGCCCACTTTGTTTTCTGTAGACGTTGTTTTGTCTGCTTTTCGCAACCTTTCAAATGAATCTCCAAACAACACCGTCCCGCCTGCTAAACTGCAGGAGTTCCTCAGTAATTACTTTGAGAAACCAGGGACAGAGTTTGAGTCATGGACACCACCGGACTGGCATACCAAGTGAGAACCAGTTACTAGAGGATTCTCGATCAGATCAGTATTGATTTTCTTTGGTTAGTCGACATTGTTGATATGTTTTCTATTTACAGGCCAAAGTTTCTAGGAGGAATAGCAGACCAACAACTACGTAACTGGGCTGCAAAAATCCATAATCTGTGGAAATCCCTCGGCAGAAAGGTGAGCTGAGTGAAATGATTATTTGATTGGCCTAATTAAGTCTAACTTAACTAATTTAATATATACATAAGAAAATAAACTTAATTAGATAAAAAGCACGTTTCTGTGATGTGAATTATTAGACAGTAATTACAATTAATACCTAGAGGGGTTTTTTTCTTTGTTGGACAAAGCAAGCTATTATATAAAGTTCAGATAAAACTATACTTGGTAGCCTAATAGTTTACATAAAGAGGAAAGCACACATCAAATCAATACACAGCCATGGTTAGTACCATCATTTTAAAGGTAAGTCCACAAGCGTATAAAGCGTATATGCCTGACGACTTACCTTTATGTATATCGAAGTTGCGCATCCACTTAAACTTGAGTCTAAAGCCTGCTGAAGAATGATGTCTCTTCCAGATCCGCACAGGTGTCAAAGATCACCCCGAGCTCTACTCGCAGATATACACCCCGCACCCTGTTGTTGTGCCTGGGGGGCGCTTCAGGGAGCTCTACTACTGGTGAGTGAAGGAGGAAGGCTGTCTCTCAGATGTCAGGGAGAAAAGACTCTCTGGGTCAGACCCAGGCAGGGGTCCCTGCTGAAAGCCCAGCTTGGTGCCGTGTGCAGACAGTGATGTTCACCTCTCTGTGCCCAACAGGGACTCCTACTGGGTCATCAACGGCCTCCTGCTGTCAGAGATGACAGACACGGCACACGGGATGATTCAAAACTTCCTCTACCTTGTCAACAGGTGAGCCTTAAAGCAACTTTCATCTCTCACTTAGAAGTCCACCGCACTGCAGATAACATCCTAAATTGTACACTTTGGATATGGAACTCTCCAGGGGGGGATTTCGTGATTTGTGCATTAACAGATTTCACAATTTCACAGATATGGATTCATTCCAAATGGTGGTCGGATTTACTATGAAAGGCGCAGCCAGCCTCCATTCCTCACTCTAATGGTGGAGAGCTACTATCGAGCTACCATGGATAAAGAGTTTCTCAGGTGATAATATGGCCGAGCTGATGTCCTGCACCACACATTATCATTTTTCAGCTGCATCTCCTCCAAAATAGAAAGAAAAAGGCGTAATAAACATCAGAACCTGAGTGCTCCTATCTTTCTGTGCCTACAGTTTGTTTCTCCTAACATGCTTATTTAGAAAGACACACACACAACGTTTATATGTAATGCTAGGGGTCCTATTATGCTTTTTGAAGTTTTCTCTTTCCTGTAGTATGTTATATATCCCCCCCTCCTCCATTGGACTCCTTTGTTTACTCCTGTAACATAGTGACATCACAAGATATCACTCGGACATCTATTGTCTAGCGCTCCCTTACATTGAACGTGAAGTCCTGCTAAGGCGCAGGACATCACTAAGCAGTTGACCAATCACAACAGAGCCTTCCAGCTAACCAATCAGAGCAGACTGGGCTCTGGTTTCAGACAGAGGGTGAAAAGAGGTGCTTCAGCACAGGCAGTATGAGAAAAATAAAGACTTTTTGAACATTAAAGCATGGAAACATG